TTGCGTTTACACAATATTACCCCAAAATCAGCACTCAGTTACAGCAGTGAAATATGGTGTGTTCTGTTATGGGTCTTAAGGAAAAATCACGGCAGGGTAAGATCACGCAGGTTTTTTCGTTCACGAGCCGTGAAACAACGAGTAAAAAACACGTCAACCCACAATTATCGACTTTTACATACGACGAACAGAGTGAGAATTATTTATTAACGGGGAAACACGACAGTTTATTACAAATTCATCTTCTGGAACTCAGGATAAATTTTTCTCTCGCCCATGGGTGTTGGGGTCAACAGCACCCCCCTCCAAATCTTTAAAATTAATCAAGTGTAATAAAAACCTGACATTTTTGAGTGAAGGCAAATGAAATTGCGATTTTTTTCTTCGTGCCTCTTCTCATTATTTTTTAATTTATTTCCTTCTTATAGAGAACACATTTAATATTAATTGTTGACTTTTTACAGGAAGAATGGAATGTAACCAAATTATAACATAGAGTAAATCTTTGTATTATTTTCAACTACCAACAATGTAAATATCGAACGACAATGGTCAGGTTTTTTAGGAACACCTGCGTGTCTAACAATGTAAGATAATGATTTGAAATTTATAAATCACACCTGTAACATTATTGGCATAACAATTAAAATTGTTACGTCATAGTTTTCGTTGACATTGTTGTATTTCATTAGTTTATATTGCCGTTAACAATCTGGTTTTCTTAGTCTGAAAGGAACTGATCTGTGAATCGCTTGTAGAAGAAGTGCGTCTTAAACAGAATACTTTTGTGCTATTTAAGAATAGTGCCTTACACTCTCTGAATTTTGTTATTAATTCGATTGTTTATTGCTGGTGGACATCTATTTCCCTTCCCATGGACGAAGAGAGTGGTAAAGACTTTTTCTTATTTTATTGTTATTATTATTTATCAACATATTTACATGTGTTTGTTAATACTTATGAACACTTACAAGAAAATTAAGCTAGAGTCTTTCTTTCTAACACAATTTAAAATAATGTTAGACTGACTTTTGTTATTTAAGGCAAAAATTGATTGCAATTGAATGTTCCAGTAAACAATTAGAAATTCGAATGCTTGAAAGAACAAGGCGTTTTAGTATCCGAAAATCTTGATGAAACAGTAAGAACCCTTAAGAGTCTGGTGGTAAGTATGTGTACCACCTGCTTTCACGATTAATAACCCTTCATTGTGTATTTGTGGGTTTCGTATGATTCTCAGGGTAAACAGCGATCATTTTCTTAAACGACATTAACCGATTGATCGTTGTATTGGTGAAGTGTAGTGTTTTTCTTGCGGTGCGGACTGAATTCTTAGATAATATTTAGACGATCTTCGGCTTCAGATGATTAATAAACGGGGCGCAGATTGAGAAAAATAATTCGAAATCTTTACATTTCTTGATACATCAACTTTGTTAAAGTTTCTTTGTCAGCTGTGAATTTGTTTTCTATATGCAGTAGAATTGCTTCAATAAAGTGTAAAGCACTCCAGGTTTTTTTTACTGAAGAAACAATAATTGTTACGTCATAATTTTCGTTGACATTGTTATATTTTATTTGTATTTATTATTGACGTCAACAATCGCCTTTCGTTACTGTGGAAACAAATAGGCTGGGAATCGCTTGTGTAAAAAGTGCGTCGTACACAAGGTACTTTTGTGCAATTGAAAACCTTTTGAAAATAATGCAATATACACATTTCATACGAATTATTGAGACATTTCGTTATCATCGGTTGTTCCTGAGATATAATATGTGGATACATTTGTGAAAAAAGGATACAACTATATCCACCAGATGACAACACCTCAATCGCCTGCATTATTATTATTATTTATTCCTGCTATATACTTACTTCCTGACTTTCCTCATGTGTCATTTTGTTATCACAGCTTGTTGTTTCTTGGCTCTACAACCCGGTTGTAGGTTTTCGCCGCCTCCTTTTCGGAGGTTTTTTGGTCTTGAAGTGTGCATTTATGTCAGACACTGACATGTTGTGGATTCGTACTCAATCATCTGTTTCGTTTCTTCGGCAGTCCACATCTTCGTTGTTCTCTTTGCGTCCTCCGCGTCCTGCATTTCTGGTCTCGTGGGAGTGAATAAAAGTTCAGCTGTGTAGAACTTCGTAGAGCACCAATATTCAGAGTTTATTGTGGTCAAGGGCCCAAATCGCTGTATGGTTTACAGGACGACAGCTTATCTCAGCTCCCTTTTCTCTCTTTTCTTCGTTTAGACTTTAGACTAAGGAAAATACCTGCTCTCGCGACCGTTTACGCGCAGGTACCTGACTATGATCCCAACTGTATTCTCTAAACCCTAGCCGTGTAAACGTAGCATTTGAATATGACACAAGGTCTGTCGAAGTAATGACTGGATAATTCCACCGGCTGAGGTTAAGCGACAGTATGTGCTTTGTAATGTGTTAAAATTATTCGTGATATTTTAAGGACCAATAAAATTATGTTTTAACATTTTATGCTCAGAAGTGGCCCCGCATTGATAGCTGTAGGAAGGTCACGTTATGTATCATGACGGAGGAGGCTGACCATCCTTTCCTCGTGCAGCTGGCCTCTTGAAAGAAATTGGTGTTCAAAGTCGTTACGCCTTTAATTTGTAATTTCGGGTTTGTGAAAAAGCGTGGTACAACTGGCGCGGGCCACATCCTGATTCCTATCTCGTCTGCTGCTTTATGTAGCTACATTTGTCACTCATACTTTTGGTTTTAAGACCGTACCGTAAAATGTTAAGTTTTCCAGCTAAAAATTGTCAGATGCAGGAGCAAACTTAAAATATGTTACTCAAGAATAATTTATACACATTTCAGTATGATTTTTTTGAATACATTATGACAATTTGTTATATTTTAATAAATATCGTTAAAGGTAATGAAAGGTGGATATTAGTTTTAAAAAATAACGTTGCGAGCCCAACGAGAAAAGTTGCTGGTCCTAAGGAAGAAAAAGTTGGACCACCCTGTTTTAAAACAGCTGAACGCGAGTAAATATACTTAAGATAATTTATTCTGAGCCAGCACGATTTGAAATTAACGATAATTTCGTCACGGTTAGGGCCCTTGTCCACGACAAGAATTCCGCCGGCCGGTAGACAAAACCGGGTGGCCTTGTCCACGGAGACGGCAGGCGCCCGGAAAATGTTTCACTCGAGTCGAGGTGAGTCTGTGCACGGGTGCGGTAGAATGGATACGGATGTGTGCACGCTCATTGCACTATATTATTTTTACAAAAAGAAACAGTGACGACGTAGAAGGTATTGGGTGCATCCTGTGTTGCAAGACCGATTTAAATTTGGTGCATTTAGTACGCTGTTTGAAAAACTACGACAGGACGACGCAAAGCATGTTAATTTTTTTAGAATGCCAAAAGAAACATTTGGCAAGTTACTGACAATTTTATGCATCCATTTGCTTAATGTATTAATGCATTATGTGCAGTAATGGAGATAATCGACGAACTCAGCACTGCCACTGCCATAACTTCAGTCTCACAACTGCTTGTAAGAATCTTTTATTATTAGTGAATCATTGTTGGCAGTTTATTTGTTCAATGTGCAATTTTTAAATCACAAGTTCATTGCTACATAATACCGTATCTGCGCATGGAGAATGTTTTGACAATACCGATAATTTTTATGATATTATTAATAAAATAACTGAAAATAGATAGTAGGTATAGATAGAAAGTATGTATTGTTTATTAATAGAATTATCGCAAAAGAATTTAAGATGAAAAGTACATACCTATATCGTTTCTCTCCTTATCTCCCAGTGTTTCAAAATCTTCTTTAAGGTGTGAGCATACATCCTTCCAAGCTTGCAAAGTTAGCCGCCTGTCTTTGTACTCTTGACTTATCCCACAGTACTGGTCTTTCCTCGACAAGCGTAATTAATAATTCACGGTCAATATTGAATTCTGCGCTCATGGAACTGCAAAGAAAAGAAAGAATACTACAGACTATGAAACTTGCACGCTCTCTCAAGACCAACTGATGACTGACGGCGAGCTCGCCGGCTCGTGGA